TACCACACCCAGCACGCATGCAGACCCACTCATAAAGCAAAATCACAATTTCTTCGATTATCTTTCATTTTCATTAGCAAATTGAGTAGATTAAGGGTTCTAAAACGGTGATGAGTTGATTCTCTGTGCCACGAAAAAATTACAAATTATACGAACCGATAAAATTAAAGTCATGTTTTTAATATTGTAGGAATATTATTTATTACTAAAAAATAAGGTTGTTAGAATTATTATTATTATTAATAATAATAATAATAATCATAATCATAATAATAATCATAATAATCATAATAATAATCATAATAATCATACTAATCATACTAATCATACTAATCATACTAATCATACTAATCATACTAATCATACTAATCATAACAATCATAATAATCATAATAATAATACATTCACTTTGACGAATAATATTTGGATCCTATTTAATGGGAAGTGTTGGCGATGAGATCGTGATACCGCTCGGAGGAACGTGCTCATTAGCACTCTCCTGGTGCAGATGCATTTCGTTGCCCAGCGCCCGGCGTGCGTCTGGGGGAGCACTTGGCCTCGGCGCGGGCGGCGCGGCGCGGAGCGGCGTGGAGCGGAGCGGAGAGCCGCATGGCCGCGAGCCAACGCTGGTGCAGTCTCGGAAGAGACGGAGACCGGCGGCGACTGTAGGAGCGCGTCGGAAGCAAACAAATGCCCCGCCACGCGACAATGCTGATAGACGTGTTGATAAACAAAAGAAGGCCGGAAACAAAGGACTATCAGTGCGACTGCGATATGATTGATTGTTGTACATTGGTACAGCTTTATGTTGGTGGGTTTTTTTTTCGGATTTTTTTCTTCATTATCTTTCATTTCTTGTTATTGAAGTGCGGACATTTACATTTATTTCGTTGCTTTTGTTCTTGAGGCGCCAGTTCCAGTCAAAATATTTTTAAAAGAACTGAACTTGTTAGAAAATGTATTTTCGTAATCAGATTCAATTCTGCTATCAGTGTCATTTGAAATAAATATTTCAGACGCTGCATTGCAATGGGACTGATAAGTTTTTTGCCTTTAATATTCATTTGTCTCATATTTTTGTGACATTTTTACTTTCACAGCAGTAATATACAATGACAACTTCGTTCTATATTTTAGCTGAAATGAAATAAATACATATTATTCTCTTTTGACCCCAGGTATACGGACATTTCTGTCATTCTCATCTTGAATGAACTTCTTGAAAATATTGTTTATTTTAACTTTGCAATATGTAGTTATTAACAAGTTGAATAGTGAGCGGGTCTTTGTTTATTTTTAAAGTAATGTGATATTTTAGCTGGATGTTTCTTGCCTAATTTTGATAGACTTTTTGTAATCGGAAACTTCACGGCTAAATCCTACCGTTACGTTTATGATTTAGTGCAGGGGCTCGAGTATCTCGGAAGGAGACGAATATCGCTCAGGAGGTTTCCAAAAATAAATTTCGGAGTAATGTTTACATCATAAATCACCTGGCGTAGACACAGCTTTCATCGCTGCTCTTTACAGTCTGTCCGCCGCAATTTGGACCATCCGACGTGTTATTTGTTCAACACCCAATTCCGAACTCACCATCGTTTCCACGGTTGAACAGTTCGCGTACCGCAAAATATTATTTTGCTTATTGAATTCGAAATAAAGTTCACGTAACCTTCCCGAAATGCTTTTTCATTCTGCTAAATTGGAACTTGTGACAAATCGCCTCCAGCTAGCGGAGGGGCCAGCCTCGCACGATTAACGCGCGACGCATGTGCCTTGCACAGAGAATATGAATATAATTCCGCGGAGCATTATTAATAGACGTTCCTTGACCCCGCTCGCGGGCGGAATATTCTCGACGCGCGTCGGCGGACGCTCCCCGCCCCTCCCCGCCCCGTGGCGCCTCGCGGGTCAGCGAAGGCGGCGGGCGCTGATCGCGCGGGCGGCCGCGTTAACGCAGCGCTGAGAACGCCTCCGGCGGCGAGCAGTGGGCGTATCGCGTCGCGTGCTGGTCAAAAAAAGAACCGAAAAAATTAAGTAATGCGTATAGATAATGACAATTTATTTTATATTTGGTGTGCAGTGTTGTGGTGGGGGTGCTAACGTAGATGTTAGTGCTAATCTTATACTAATGTAGGAGATTAATCCTAATCTACGGGAATTGCAGCACTTCTCTATAAAGTTTAATAACGTGGAAGGTAATATTTTAGGTGAATTACATACTAAAATATTAGTTGTATGGTTGGGATTCGAAAGAGTGACCATATCTCATATTTTTATGTAGAAACAAAATTATTAGCTCTTTTATAGATACAGGACCGCCTGGAAGGGGAAGAGGCAACTGGGGTAACCAGCCCTCGAGCCCGGAATGTTTTCATCAAAAAAAAAATATTTCCATAAAATTCGAATTAACCGCAATGTGTTACTTCTGTTGTCTGGAGAAATCAGTTCTATTTACGTATTATAGGTGGCGTAACGTTTGTTTGAAAGCATGGGCGTCTGTGGAACTATAGCTTCAGACCTCTTTGTTTTCTATGGGCGTCTGGATTTCTGCAATGTAGACTGGCAAACTAGACGAATACGTAAGAGGGATATTGCACAATGTTACCAGCTGATCTTTATTTCTGTGAGCAGATCGAAAAATATTTAACGTAAAAGAGTGTCGAGTGCACGTGAATGGCAGACATGTTCACTGAGCTAACATTGTATCCAAAGCCAGAGCAAGTATTGTCCTCAAAAGACAGTGACATATTTTGAACTAGCAGACTGTTCCAAAGATGACTGTCTTCCAGTAAACGTCGTTCAAGAAACGCTGCTTTGCTTTAAACGAAGGGCGTCATGTAGGCGAGTGTGCAGTGTTCGCGCCGCGGCCCGTCGCGGCGGGGACCCGTCGTCACGGCGCGGGAGCGGCCGAAATAGCCCCGGGGAATAAAACTGCGCGCAGTCGTATCGCCCGCCGCGCGCGCGCGCACGCCTATCCGCTGCCGCGAGTGGGCGTGGGGGCGTGGCGGGGCGGGCTGCGGGCGGCCGGCCGCGGGGGCCATGTGATGTGACCGGCGGTCTGCGGCTGCGACGCGAGCGCGCCCGGTGGACGCAGAGCGCATGAGTTGTTTAGGGCTCAGGATATGCTGGGTGAGTGTGTGTGTGTGGTGGGATCCGTGAGATCTCATTACGTGAGTTTTGTATCGTGCTTGGAAGTGTGTTGTCACAAAATCCGTTGACGGATAATAGTGTTCGGTTTGATTTGTAAGTCCGCATGTGGAAATGAAGTGTTTGGAGTCGGTATTTCAAGAAATACTTCAGACCGCTTTCCATACATGTTCAAATACAATGTGTAAAATACAATAAATTAATGTTAAATATTCCGTACTTTCAGGTTTAACTGCGTCAGTGTGCAAAATGTCGATTTTGTGAGGTTGATTTATAAAGTCTCTAATGCAAAAGCGTTGTGTGTAACGTTTGTCTCATTCGCTCGATGAGAATAAAACACATGCATTGCAATTGTTAAATCTCATGAGCTTATCCGTTTAGTAATGCGTTTCGATATTCTACTGGAAAACAGCGAATTATTGTTAAAACGGTTAAAAAGTGCTTCGAAGGAAATATACACTTTAATCTTAATGCAAATGTTGTAAAGTGATTCGAAAATATGTTTTTATTTTCAAATTTTGTTCTGCATTCTGTTTGAGCGCTTATTAGAAATGAAAATATCCTTTTTTAATTCCACCCGGATATACATTACACACATTATTTTCTCTTAATAATTCATTTATTACGAAATCATTTATGACGAAATACGTATTAATAATTTTCATTTGTTAAGAAATGTAATGTATTATAATCGAAGTTGGTTGTACAATGCTTCCCACTGAATTTTTTTTTTTTCAAATGCTTTTTTGAGAAAGAGTTCATCATTGTTGTATAACATGTTAATTCTTCTGAAGTCAGAGTCACGTCGGAATTAATTTTGAACTCTTCTCACACATTTTGTGGATACATTTTGATGGATGTAACTGAAATGACGTTTCATTGGTGTGAATTGTCTTAGATACTTACGATTTGACACGAAAGGATAATTGATGATTTATGACATGAAAATCGTGGGTTTCATTAATATATTTTTTACAGCAACATTGGCAAACATATTTTCGATTACGAAAATTGACCGTTCTTCAGATATCTCAATCGAGAGTATCAAGAGACGGCAGTGAAATCCTTCGATTAAGTTTTGTCATTGCCATGGAGGTGACATGGTGAAAATATGCGGTTCATTCAAAATTATTATTTATATTAGAAGGTCATTTAGGTAAATAATTAAATACATTGATAGATAATTTCTCAATATTAAGTACATAAATTATAGTTCCTCCAGATCCTCTACACAATAATGGAAGTTATAATACAGTTGTACATTGTGTATGTGGGGAGGCGTTTTTCTTAGGAATGTGTGCTAAATCCGTTTTGTTTATGGTTCCTTTCCGGTGTTAACATTCTGACGTTCTCTCGTCATGGCGCACACTTGTCATGAACGGAATTAGAATGTTAATTGGACTTCATGCAATAAGTACATGGTGTAATATGGTTGAATATATAGAGAAGACGTGCCTCATATAATACGTGCAATGGTCAAAATATAAGAAATGGTGTTAAGAAAAATCAAGTTAAGAGCAATATGGTTGTCGAATGTATCTCATGAACGCTGTAACGAAAGTCATTGGAAAAATTTCATTTTTGATATAACATTTATGGCAAACCTAATTTTTAATTAACTATTTTTTTAATATGCTGTGTATATGTATATATAATTAATGCTTCCTTTGGCATCTAAAGCACCAGTGACATAGTTACACTTCCATATGGCAAGAAAATGGAAATTATTCTTATTGATGCAAGGTTAATGCGTATGCCTGTTCATAGATCCACTTCAAAATATAATGCGTATTTGTCATGCGATGATTTGTTTGATAGAGGAGATGTTTAGTGTAATATTCCATTTTAAAATGTTGATGGATAATCGGGTAAATCGAGTCAAAAAACCCGTTTTATATTTAAAGTCGCCGAAACAAATATATAATATAATATCAAAATCAAACTGAAATGCCTCCATTCTACGACGCACGTAACGTATTTAAAATATGTTTTATATACTATTTGAATATAGTATCACTTGAACCCAATTTTCAAACAGCTTCTTTTTAATTAACATTTAGCATGAGCAATCTTGCATTTGAGTGTTACTTCTGATTTGAATTTTCACAGTCGTGTTGGGTTAGTATGTAGCGTATTGTAGAAATAAAGCGATTTTTGGAGGGGGTTGTATATTATGCAATATTAATTTTGTTGCATAGCCTTGGTTCGATTTTAGTGTTAGTGTTAATTTTTGTAACATATGAAATTCGAACGATATCAATCTCATTGATTTAATTCATCTTACATACTCATGATAATAATTAATTAATTATTCCCATAAGTAATTCGCACTGCCTGGACATTTCTAGAGAAGTTTGCCAATGTGTAAATATTACTCGTTGGAATTTTGATGCGTTTTAATTTTTTCTCGGAGATTTTCATACAAGAATAAAAATATGTGAATCGTATTGTGAAATGCAGCCAACTGTTTTTTTTTAAAGTATGGTACACGACAGTGAATTTTAATTGTTTAACGCGTATATTTCATTAGTTTAAGTCCACATCTTCATTGAGTCGTGTACTGAATATAATAATGTAACTATATAGATTTACCTATGTGTGAATTTAATTCAGGACATGATTAAATTATGTTTGTAGGTTACGTAGTATTTGTGTCTAGTTTCTGACACATTTAGTAATATCTTCTTAGTAAATCCACATAGTAACCTACTTCTTTTCATTTCAGAGTGCATGAAAGAGTAGGTTTCAGACCTCCAAATATTTGAGATGTCTCATGCTCTTCCGTAAAGAACGACTTGTTTCTCTCATAGGCGTAGAAACACCTTTCAGTCTCGAGTAGTATAAGACATTATTCACTCATGTGAGCGAATACCTTGGAAGTGTGAGCGTTTTCATGTAATGTTGGTTCGTTTAGAACAGTCACGTCGTTCCTTTGCCACTGCTGTCTTCAATTCAGCCCGTTTCTGCTTCTCGTATTTATTTCCTTAGAATTTTATTTGTTGATGCTCCGTAACCTTGCTGAGTCTCCTAAAATCTGTACGACTGCGATCATGGACTTTGTACTACTGTTCGAATAGTCTCAGGGACGTCCCATAAAACAAATATTTAACTTGTTAATCTGTGTCAAAATATATTTTACATTATTTTATTGGAAGTTCTTTCGCGTGAATGAAATAATCCTACACCAACGATCACATGATGTCATATAAATCGGTGCATATTTTAACTGATGTCACTTCTATTGATAACAGTGTTAATGATTGTTATAGAGCTGAATAATGGTGGTAGGGAACATGATTGATTTTGGTTTTCTGGCGCTTCAATTACTATGATAATTAGTCCCGTAAGGTTAATGCATGCATTTATCACGGGAGGTTGTGGTGATCGTCTTAGACGATGAGACCCTGCGTCAACCTACAGGATGGCTTGGGATTTTTCCCCTACCAGGTATCTCCCACCAGCGAAGCACTGGCCCCAGCCGAGACTAGTTCTTAGCTCCCGACTGGTGACCCGACATGTATGGTAGGGTAGTGCTTATTAGTACAAGTGTGTGTAAGTTAACGGTGAGGATAGTAAACACAGAGGTTGAAGCAAATATCGCACCCGGTCTTTGACCCGTTTGTGGAGGCGCTACTCCGGCATTCTCATGGTGTTGATAGGAGAAAGTACGGAAAACTACCACTCGGATTTGCCGGCCGCTAGAATTCTCCTCCAGACAGAGTCTGAACTCGACCCAGCTATCTAGCTAGTATCAAAATCTTGCACTCGTCGGGAGTCGAACAGTAGGACCTCGCGGTCAGACGCTCTGCAGTAACATGAGTTGATAGTTAGGGAACTTGAAATCAATCGGTGTCTTCCTTAGTTGTTTAAGAGTCACGGCCTTAGAATAATTTATCAACTCCTGAACTTACGAAAACGAAACAGTGCGAGTACCTGCTCGTTCGCTGTTTGTGCCCACAACCCCTCTGTGCAAGTGTAAAGTACCGTGTTCGTGCTTCGGTGCGTAAGCGTGTGCGTCGTGTAGGCTGTACCCGCTGGAACTCGTAATTCGCATTAGCGGCCATTAGATGGTCGTGATGGTCGCACCCTCATTATTTCCTCCTCCAACGTGGAAAAGAATGCTCATGAATATTTATGAGATGGGAGCTGTGAATTCCTGCAGGAGAGCATTGACTGCCGCACACCCACTACTTACGAGCAAAAACGAGCCCCGTGGATTCATAATTAAACATGACGTGAGTATTAGAACGCCGTGTACAAGTTTTGTTATATATATATATATATCCAGGGGAGTATTATTTCTATAGCTTGCAATGCTAACAATTTCTATGATTTTCCCTCGTTGCGTTGTGTTTTCATATGCATCTTCACACAGTTCTCAGTAATCAATTCAGACATATAGTGGTCGTGAAGTATTTTAGGTAAGATACGAGATTGCATATATATATATATATATATATATATA